TGCATGGCTACATGTTAATGAACTTGGAGTCAATTCAACAGAGTGTGGTTTGGTAATCCAGTAAGGCTCAACTCCCTATTATGGACTTCCTAATGAGTCACAGTGGCATATTAGGTAGTGTTTGGGGGCCAATGCACAGTTAGTCATGCAGACATGACAGATTCAACTTATATCTACTCAACCATAATGATTTGATTATTCAGCTAGGTTGTCAGTCTATTGTCCACCACATGGACTCAGCAAATCGGTTCATATTGCCCCGACACCTTTAAGCCTTTCCTTGCTGTATTTCAGCCCCAGTGGCTTTGCCACCAAACACTAAATTCCAGTTGTTAACAAGTGCTACTGTTTGTTGGGCCACCAACATCTTGGAATGTAGACAGGGTCAGCCCTGGTTAGTACTTGGATGGGAGACTGCCAGAAAACATAATGTGCCATTGACCATTTTCAGAAGGAGAAAATGACAAAATTACCTGAGTATTCCTTGCCTAAGAAAATCCTTTGAAATTCACAGGATTGCTGTAAGTCAACATGGAATTTGAAGGACAAACACACGTACACATTGCAGTGTGCTGGTGCTGAGCAGTGGAAGTAAGGCCCCATCTACACTGTCATATGATGCAGTTTGAAAGTGCATTATATGGTCAATGTAGACTCATATAATGTAGATGCATTATATGAGTCTACACTGACCGTATAAAGCACTTTAAAACTGTATTTTATGGAAGTGTAGATGGAGACTAAATCTCATTGCTGGAAGGACAGTGACATTACACTGTAATGATTTACTTTCCGGACTTCTTCCAGAATAATTTTGTAATGGCTATGGTTAGAACAGTAGGTTTTATGTAGACTTGATACATTTGAAAAGCACTTTTGCTTCTGCTAAGCAGGACATCTAGTTTTCTATAATTCACTCTTCTCGATTACTGAAGGCGTACACTCCATATACCATATAATTCCAAAGTATTCTCAAATCTTCTCATACATTGGATTGCTGTGAATTGTCCGGCTTCTCAACCTGTGGATCCCCAGGTGTTTTGTCCGACAACTTCCAGAAATCCCAGCCAGTTTACCAGCTGTTAGGACTTCTGGGAGTTGAAGGCTAAAACATCTGGGGACCCACAGGTGGATAACCACTGATCTAAATATTCCTAGAAAAAACACTTTTCTAGGGATCTGTATGTTCTCCAGCAATGTTCTATGGTGAAAATAGGGAGCCTATCTTAAATACATATAACCTCTAGATCAGTGGTTCTCAAGCTGTGGGTCTCCAGATGTTTTGTTCTTCAACTCCCAGAAATCTTAACAGCTAGTAAACTGGCTGGGATTTCTGGGAGTTGTAGGCCAAGACACCTGGGAACCCACAGTTGATAACCACTGCCCTAGATAGTCTTTGTAAGCTGGAGGGAAAAATCACGTATTTTTAAAATTTTCTTTATTTTAAAAAAGAGAACAAAATTGTCAGTCATTATGTTCATTCGTTTGATGGCAACACTGAAGATCCCTAAATCATCTCTTCCTGGGAGTATATAACCAATGATAATAAACTATGAGGCATACAATTTGTACACTCCTCCCTCTGACTAATACTAGGTAGGGTTGCAGGATTGGGATCAACCCAGGCCTTGACATTTCCAGGCCAAAACCTAAGATCCAGGGAATTGGCCCTTGTTGATGTCATGGGCTGAGTTCTTCTGATGTTCTAGATCCTTTTCACATGTACTTTTTCAAGTCATGTGTCACCCATCCCATATCTGTGCATTAGGCCCAAGAAAGAACCCTGTGGTGCCCCACAAACCCATTTTCTTTTTTATCATTATTTGAGTTCAATAAGTCAACCGACTGCAAACCCAGCTAACAATAGCATTGTCTAGCCCACATTTTAGTAGCTTGTTTGCAAGAATATCATGGAAAACCTTGTCAAAGATTTTACTGAAATCAAGATATGCTACACCCACACCCTCCTCAGGTCTACTAAGCTTGCAACTCTATAAAAGAGATAAGATTAGTCTGGTGTGACATGCTTTTGAGAAAACCATTTTGATTTTTCATTAGCATGGCATTACTTTCTAAGTACTTACACACTGTTATGGATCTGCTCTAAAATCTTTTCTGGTATCAGTGTTTAATTGATTGGGTGGTAATTGTTTGGGTCTTCTCCCTGTATTTTGAAGACAAGAACAACATTTGCCCTCCTCCAGACTTATGTTTTCCATGAATTCTCCAAGATGGTTGTGAGTGGTTCTAAAGTTACTTCTGCCAGTTCTTTTCATGCCCTTAGATGTAGTTCATCTGGCCCTGGAGGCTTGAATTCATTTAGAGTAGCCAGGTATTCCTGTACGACCTGTTTATCTATCCTGTGCTGCATTTCTCTTACAGAATTATTTGCTCCATTTTTCACAGGCTGAGCACTGTTTTGCTTTTGGGAGAAAACCAAGGCAAAGAAAGTATTGAGTAGTTCTGCGTTTTCTCTGTCCTGTGCATTTTGTCATCTCTGTGCAGTGCCTCTAGCTTTTTCTTGTTCTCTGTTTTGCTACAGGCATAACCAATCCCCCTTATTATTTTTAACCTCTTCAAGAAAGCCTGAGTTCATTTTATGCTTTAGCTCTTTTGACTTCCTTCCTTTTGACTGCTAACTATTTACTTGAATTTCTCTTTGGTGATTACCCCATTTCCCATTTCTTTTACATGTTCATTTAAAATCTTAGTTTGGTTGGAAGTTCTTTTAACATCCATCCTGGTTTCTTTAGACAACATCTATCCCCCACCTCATTGTAACTGTTTTACATTGTGATTTTAATACTTCCCTTTTATGGCACCCCCATCCATCATAAAATCATTTCTTTAGTAATCCTGATAATGGGATCACACCCATTATTCCTTTGAGGGTATTGAAATCGACTTTCTTAAGGCCTAGAATGTGTGTCCGATTACTCTTGGCTTCCCCTTTCAATTGCATAACAAACTCCTGGAGAACAAGGTCATTCCCACCTAAGGTTCCTGCCACTTCCACTCCATTAGCCAGGTCATTGCTGTTGCTTGCAATCAAATCTAAAATCAGGTCTATTGTGACATGGCTTTAAAAAAATCTTCCCTGTGGTTTTGTTTGCTCCTTCTAGGAATACTTTGACTTTGTTGTATGACACATTGATCATCCTGGGCCACTACATCACAACTGTGATGGTAAGAAAATTGAGGGCTCTCTATATAGGTGAATCAAGGATTGGGTGGTTGAAAAGAGAGCACTACTCTGCAGATCAGATCAACTGTGTCTGTGGCTACATCAGTGTGCCACTCTGGTCTCCTATTGATTGGCTGCTCCTTGTTCTCTTTGTGCTGATGTATGCCTTCAAGTCACTTCTGACTTACAGTGCTCCTTGGGTCTTCTTGGCAAGACTTATTCAGATGTGGTTTACCATTGGCTTTTTCTGTGGCTTAGAGAGTTACCCAATGGCTAATCATGGATTTGAACCTTCATCTCTCAGGGCACTTCCAGACAACCTCATAATCTGGGACAAATAAGTGAGGCAAAAAATCATGATACCTGACAGTAAATGCAAACACAGAATTGTCAGTCCCAGTAAATGCCCCCCATGTCCTGACATGTTTTTTTTGTAGTGGATTTTAGAAATCCACAAGCTAAATGGGGCGAGGGGGGTGGGCTCTCTGAGATGCACTGGAACTCGTAAGCACTGATGCAGATATACAAATTTGTACACAAGCAGATTTCTTGTCATTATCCCTCCTCACCCTCCTGTTGCCTTTACCTTTCTCCCTCTTGAGCCCTCAAAATCATAGTCTAATATCAAATCACTACACCACAGTGGCTCTCTGGTGTTCGTTCTGCTACAAAATATTTTTACCTTGATATCATTTGGTTTCTGGGCATTGGGCATACAACCTGCCTGTCCTTCGTTTCTCAATGCTTAATGATGTTACTTTTTCAGTACTGCAATTAAGGTTGAAGCTGTCTACACTTACTTAGCTTTTATGGACTCTGAGCTCTACCACAAAAACTGTAGAGATGCCATAATGTTAAAGTCTGCAACAGTAGGACTTACTATTTTCTTATAGTAATACTTATAATTTACAACCTCTGCCTTCTAATACTATTGTTTTCAAAATGCGAAAACAATCCAGTGTCATACCTAGTTAAGATAACATCAGTGAGAAGGACCTTTCCTCTTAATTTGGAGAACCACTGGCTGACAGAGTAGACATTAGTGGGTCAAATGGACTAAGTATGATGAAGCATACTGAATTATTACTCAGTATGAAGCAGCTTGTTTTGCATATATGTCTCAACCATAACTCATGGGGTGACAAATTCCAAGCTCCACTCAGTGTGCTGTCTCTGCAAATGGGAACAACAGTATGGACCAACCTCTCTGGATCCAAGCTGTCCAGATGTCTCTGTCTGGCAAGATGTATTGATTTGGGTTTCCTTTCTCTGTTCACCCATATTGGCATATTTCTCTGCAGTTTTGCATGGTTAAAATATATAAATTAAATTAATACAATTGTTAAAGAGACTGATTAAGCTGCCGGGGCAGAAAATTTAATTAGAAAAATGTGTATTCATTGGCAAATGTTTTACTTAGGCAGTGAACCTTAGCTAAATTGCTTGTTTTTGCTGAGGAGAATTATTTGACAACAGGATGGCCAGCTGCAGAAAGAAACTTACCTCATTAAGACGTTGGTGAGAAATGAAAAGTTCCTTTTCCATTAGCTTTTGAACTTACCCTGATTAGTAGAGTTGCCAAAATACACAAGTCCTCACTGGGTCACCTCCAGGCTCTAATTCATGTTTCTCTCCTGCAAAGCTACTCCACCCCCTTGCTGCCATCTCACTCACAGGGGGACATTGTTTAAGTAGAGAGTTTCTACTTATATCCACAGTTCATCCACCTCCTTCCCTCCCTTTTACATGACAGCTAAATTCCTCCTTCACATACCCTCTAAGAAACGTAAGCCGGCTTAATGCCCACCTCCAGGTCTGTTCAGAAGTATTAAAACACCATCACAGTTTGAGTTTCATTTCCCCATGGATGCCCACTGAGGGGCAGAGAGCGTTGGTTCTGGGACACTCTCACTCTACCGTGGATGGGAACCTAAGGCTAACCAAAACCATTCATTCAGCTGCCTAAAACTCCCAGAATAGGGTGTGAAAATGAAGATCAACTGGTAAGCAATCAAGTATATTTCTAAGTGAGACCAGACCCTCAAATGGGGGAATATAGATTTATTACATTTAAAGTAGCCTTTCCCAAACGAACCTTCTATTTCATTTTCCCTTTCCTGTGACAGATAATGGATGTAAGAACAGATGTTTGAGACAACTATTCAGATGTCAACGTTTGTTGCACTAGGTTGCAAACCTGAAAGAGCTTTGCTTGCCAACTGTGCTAGCAAGGATTTAAGTCACACATTTATATATTTAATATGCATGACTCTGAGATGAAAGTGGGTGACATTGTAATTAGGCAGCATACGCTCATATTTCAACTGCCTTTCTTTCCTTACAGGCAGTATCGATTTTTGTGTCGCATGTGCTGTTTTCTGGGGTTCCTGACATCAACTACTTTCCAACAGCAGACAAGTAAGGCTCTTCTTTGTTACTCCTATTAAAGATTTTGAAAGTCAAGACAGTTCTGACAAACTTAGCAATATGTAAAAGCCCAAAGCCAAGGAATTAGGTTACTGCATGTGCATGATGAATGAAGATATGAGAAAGAGACTGAAAATGGAGCAATGGTTCAGAAAAACAGGGCCAGCTGATGATTGGCATTTGAAAACTACTGCTTACATTTGGCACTTTATTTTAGTTTATATGCCATCTATCTATAAGGGGTGAGGTGGGGAGGGAAAGAAAGGGCAAAGAACTATAACTTTTCTGAAATTGGAGATTCTGGGACAGATGGAGTAATGCATTTTACTCACCTAATATAGGATTTCTCAACTAGGGTTCCCTAAAACCCTAGGTTCCTCAAGAGGTTGTGAGGAGTTCCACAAGAGATGGTGGATTTTTAAAAAACTTTAGCTATAATAATGGTAAGGTTCTCTGAGATCTGATCATAATTTCAAAGTTCTTCCTGGGTACAATGTTTGCGGAAGGCTGGTTTAATCTTTTCTGGATATGAATGGATTTGAATTATACAGAGCAACCTAAGAAGTGGGTTGTTGCAGGTTTTTTGGCTGTATGGCCATGTTCTAGAAGCATTCTCTCCTGATGTTTCACCTGCATCTGTGGCAGGCATCTTCAGAGGTTGTGAGGTGATTCTCAGAGGTTGTGAGGATGCCTGCCATAGATGCAGGTGAAACATCAGGAGAGAATACTTCTAGAACATGGCCATACAGCCCAAAAAACCTACAACAACTGAGTGATTCCGGCCATTAAAGCCTTTGACAATACAACCTAAGGAAGAGTTCTGAATATGCTAAGAAAAGAACAGAGATAAGCTTAATTAAAGTATTTAGTGCTTATTTAAGCTCATTATTAATATAATTGTGCCATTCGTTTTATCAAATTTTAAACCATAACCTTTGGACAATGCATTGTTTTAACTGATTTTTCTGTGAACTATCTTGGGTCCTATTTCAGGAGAAATGCAACATATCAATAAAATAAATGAGTTATCTGACATCTATAGGAAACTATAGGACAAGCGTCACAAGTGTGATTGGTGGGAACGAGAGAGAGGGCCTTCTTGGTGGTGGCCCCCCGGCTCTGGAACTCTCTCCCCAAGGAGATTAGACTGGCTCCCAACCTGTTCACCTTTTGGAAAGATCTAAAAACGTGGATGTTCCACTGTTCTTTTGATTGGACAGTTTCCCTGATAAACTTGCCCCCAGCCATGACCCAAAATCTAGCTCCTCGCACTTTACTAAGAAACAGTGTTCCCTAACTAGAGATATAGTGCTCTACTTCTTATTGCCCTCCACTCCTAATCTTGTCATCTGGCTCTGCACTTTACTCATCAGTCCTGTCCTGGCAACTAATTTGCACCAACCAGCCTGCCCGAACTCAGGAACTGTTTACTACTCAGGCCATGGGTGGCTTGATTGATGGTTGTTTTATACTATGTGATGTTGTGGTTGTTTATATTGTTTTATGATGTTATGATGTTGTTTTATGAATTTTAGTAACTATGTTGAAAGGGCATGTCCCCATGTAAGCTGCCCCAAGTCCCTCTGGGGAGATGGAGGTGGGATACAAAAATAAAGTTATTAATTATAATATTATTATAGTAGATAAGAATTTTCTATAGGAAATTAAGTTTCCCAGACCTATAGCAGGCTTAGGTCTTAGGAAAGGAGAGGCAATAGACACATTTCATCGTGTAGGCTTAGGACACGCGACTCCGTAAAATGTTGGTTCTTGGAAGAGACAAGAAGCTCTCTGTAGACTGTCTCCTTTCAAACTATAAAAGTCTTTCTTCCACTCTCTAGAGACATTTTCCAGCTTGACTCGACACATTGCTTAGTGGAGGCCCAAAGCTAACTCAAACGAATATTTAATTTTCCTTTTTGGTTCTTTAGGGAGTGGTTTTGATGGCACGTAAGTGGGTTGAGGTTCTCCCCCTCCTTCCATGCTCACACTGGGAGCTTAGTAAAAAGAGTGGCTATTTCAGGCAGTGAAATGGCTGTTTGTTCATGCAAGAAGCTTTCTTTCATGTTGTAATGCCACCCCACACTTACCCTCACCGTACAGAGCTTGTTGTGCGATCAAACATGGGAGAGGAAGGAGTGGGGACATCTGAAATATGAAAGGAAAGAGAAGTGGAGCCAAGGGCATAGATTTCCAACTGCTGCTTGAGCTTTGGGTAGACTTGATGCCTGTTTATTTTGAATTAAGTTTAGGTCCACTGTTGACTTAGCTAACTAGACATTTTTAGAGGCTGCCCAAACCACAATCAGCTCTACACTGTGGCACTCTTTATATTGCAAACCTGTGTCTGGGAAGACAGAAAGTTTAAAGATGTAATTCTTCACTTTGGGCCCTTCCACACAGTCATATAACCCATAATATCTGCTTTGAGCTAGGTTATTTGTGTCCACACTGCCACATATGAAAGTTCAAAGTAGATAATGTGGGATTTTATTCAAATGTGTGGAAGGGATCTAAGTTTTTTCTTGAAGATAGAATGAATGATTTGAGCATTTTTTTATCTTGCCGTTAGAAAGTCTTTGAAAACCATACAGTTTTCCAAGTTTGCAAAGTTTATCACAAGGAAAATGCTGTTTCTTGTACAGAAAATGTTGTTTTCTGTGCAAAACAACCACATGTGGTTTTTTCACAAAACAATAAGGTGAATTATTCAATCAGCTGACTGGAGACGCAGTGGTGCAATGGATTAAACCCTTGTGCTGGCTGCACTGCTGATGCTAACTTGAAGGTTGGGTTGTTGACCTGAAGGTTGTCAATTTGAATCCGCGAGATGGAGTGAGCTCCCATCTGTCAGCTCTAGTTTGAGGGGTTTGAGAGAGGTCTCTCAGAAGGATGGTAACATATCCAGGTGTCTCCTGGGCAACGTCTCTGTAGATGACAAATTCTCTCACACCAGAAGTGACTTGCAGTATGTTTTCAAGTTACTTCTGACACAATAAAAATGATCAGCTAAAAATTCTTCTCATAATGGTTTCTCAATATTCATTAGGCAGGGTTTTCTATCTTTTTGGAGGATATGTTTGGAGGATATGTTCATTCCAGTCCTGTTAGAAATGGAAAGAAGGAGAATTGATGCGTTTTACTGCCTTCTGTTTCTCAACAAAGTTAACAGCACATCTACCACCAGTGGGGCAATATGAATATGATGCAGAGCTGGATTTGTTGAAAATGGATTTGTTGAAAATCCATTTGTGCTCCTGAGTCTTTTATACACCCTGAAAATAACTTTCTTGCCATTAAATGCCATTTATTTTTGAGGTGCTCATCTTCAAGGAGGTGGTTCAAGGTTGGCACACTATCCAGAAACATAGTGGACAGAGATAACTGTGTGTACTGTTCTGCACAGGGTTTCCGGTAACATTCAGTTCCAGCACGAATGCGGATCTTTGCCCTGTGACCAGAATTGGCCAAGATGATCTGCCAGGCAAGTATACATTTACTTCAAAGATTTTAAAAGAGGGTTGTGTATTTCATTCTTTCTTTTCGTGGGAATCGCATCTGGTTGAAAAAGACGCTATTTGTAATGTCTGTTTGTTTAATAAAATAATTCTGTTCTTTTTGTCGATCGTGATCTGTAAGTTAACTCACAGGGTTTTAAAAAAAATAAAACAATGCAAGAAAGCGTGCATTGTTTTTAAAGATTTTAAACAGAAGATAAATTAGTTTGAACAGGAACAAAGTATGTATTGAAAGAGAGCCCTAAGGGAGAATATTTAGCTGCTTGATCTGGCTACTTATTTGTCTTTCCATTAAATTGAAATGTTTCTGTTTGTTCTTATAGGATATGACCTGATTTCACAATTCCAGCTTGATAAAGCTGCTTCCAGGGGCATTATCCAGCGTGTGGTGGGTTCCACAGATTTGCAAGTGGCTTATAAATTAGGCACAACTGTAGACTTCAGGATTCCTACTAGGTAATATGTGCTGTTGTATTATCACTTTGACATTCATGTCTAAATGCACAACTGTCTTTTACTTAAACCATTTTGGAAGAGTTAAAATATAGTCTCAGTTCCAAGGATTACCTCTTTGGCCTCTGAATACATGAAGTCATTTAGTTTATGTGGATACCAAACAAAGGCCCAAGGGGCCGGAAATGGCCCTCCGGGCGCTTATGTGCGGCTCTGAAAATTTCCCCTGCCCTCTGAACATAAAGATGCAGTGACCTGCCACATCCTTATGCCAAAAGGGCAAAGGAGGAAGGCATGCAGTGCTCTCAGTTACTGTATGCCTGGCTCGATCCCTCCTCCCGGCATAGGGCGAGAGGCCCTGTCCTGATATTGAGAGAAAACGAGGCCAAAGGACAAGCCGTGAGTGACACGGCCCCAAACCCACTTTGCCCGCAGCCTCCCTTCTCCTGGTGTCAGGACAAGGCGGGGCCCCATCCTGATGCCGGGAAAAGCTGGCAAGCAGCAGGTGAAGTGAGCAGCAAGTAGTGGGTGAAGTGGTTCCAAAGCCACCTTGTTTGCTTCTTAACCCTCCCTTCTCCTGGCATCAGGATGAGGCAAGGCCCCGTCCTGATGCTGGCAGAAGGGAGAGGCAGGCATGGGCCAAGTGACCTCAAAGCCTCACCCTCCTCCCAGCATAAGGATGGGGTGAGCATCCCTATCCTTATRTTGGGAGGAAAGCCTGAGGGAGATCCACCCCTGCCCCACCCAGCTCCACCCCTCCTGGACCCACCCTGTCCCAGCCCCACCTCCTCCAGATCCACCCCTGCCCCATCCAGCTCCACCCCTCCTGGACCCACCCTGTCCCAGCCCCACCTCCTCCAGATCTACCCCTGCCCCATCCAGCTCCACCCCTCCTGGACCCGCCCTGTCCCAGCCCCGCCTCCACCATGGCCCACCCCACCCCTAAGCCCCACCTCCTCCTGCGACCACCTCACCCTCCTGGCCTAGACCCCACTCCCAGTCCRGCCCTTCTGTCAGGGCTYGCAATGTGGCCCCAGAACAAAAAACTTTGCCCATGTATGATCTATAATATGCAGCTGAGGTGTATTTGGAGCTTTGCCATTTCTCACTTATTTCTCATGCCTGGTGTTTCAACATAGTGTTGAGGGTAGGGCTGATCTCCTTTTGGCCAGTTCCAAGTAGAATAGACACATTCAATCAATTGCTGAATGATGAGTGAACATATAGATTACATCTCTATTGTAGAATTAGTGCAGTTTGACAGCACTTTAACTGCCATGTCACAGCCATATGGGATAAAGGATATTGTAGTTTGATGAGGCACTAGCATTCTTCAGCAGATAACTACAGCCTCTATGATTCCATGGCAAAGTGGAGTCAAACTGTATTAATTATACAGTGGAGATGGGATGCCTACCATAGATTCAGGCAAAACATCAGGAGAGAATGCTTCTGGAACATGGCCATACAGCCTGAAAAACTTACAACAACCTAGTCCACCACCCTTCTGTCCTGGTGGGTGGTACTATTCTGTTGTCAGTATTGCATTAAGAGTATAGTGCAGTGACTTGAGTGTTGGACTAAATACTTGGAAACCAGGATTCAGATTCCCACTCAGCCATGGAAACCCATTGAGTGACCTTGAGCAAGTCAAATTCTGTCACCCTCATAGGAAGGCAATGATAAACCATCTCTGAACAAATCTTGCTAAGAAAACACTGCTGTGGGATGTCTGTAAGTTGGAGTCAACCTGAAGACAAAAAATAGACAGCCTAATAATCTTCTCTTTGTGGAATGGAAGTAGTGGGTATCTTGTCCCACATCCCAGAAAGCAGAAGGACGTCAGACATGCTTATTCATTACATCCACAGCTAGAACACAAGAAAAGGAGCAAAGCTATTTAATTTAGCACTGCTTTCAGCACATCCTCCAATATTAAAACATGTACAATGGGGAGTGGGAGTGACCTAATTGTGCATGGATTCTGAATATCACCCACAGCTTGAAATTATTATATAATGGGATATGAGCATTCACAGCTTTTGGTATCCACAGGAGGCCCTAGACCCAGCCCCCAGCCCACTGTACCCTTAAATATACCTCATCATTCAGGCTTCACAGCCCTTGGTGGTATCATTAAGCATTCTGCATCAAGTAACACCCATGGTTGCTCAAAGCTTGTTATTCAAACACACGCACACACACATACCATAGTTCCTGTTTTGAAAACTTAGCTGAAGAAGGTGTTCCAAGAGCAAGATGATATGAGGGGATTATTTCCTCTTGCTTAGGGTTCATCTACACTTTAGAATTAATGCAGTTTGACACCACTTTAACTGCAACGGCTCAATGCTATGGAATCCTGGGGGTTGTAATTGTATGAGGTCTTTAGCCTCCTGTGCCAAGGAGCCCTGGAGTCTCACTAAACTACACATCTCAGGATTCTGTAGCTTTGAGCCATGGCAGTTAAAGTGGCATCAAACTGCATTAATTCTACAGTGTGGATGCACCTTTGCCTAGGGAGATGCGATAAGGAACATTTATTCTAACCTAAGTGGTTGTAGAACCGAACATAGGTGAGTGCAAGGGAAGGTGGAAGCAAACAAAATAAATAAATATATAGACCTGCTGGAGAGTCTTTGCAAGTTGTGGCAGCAAATAAATTAAACTCTATTGGCTAAGCTGGAGATTTGCGCTCTGTCTTTTTCTCTTGCCTGAAGTGGAGTCCAGCAAAACCAGAGAATGTGCACCCTGATTTTCCACCAGGAGTTGGACCAGGCATCGAGATCTGGCAAACTGAATATTTTCTCATTTAATAAATGTAAACTATTCTGGAATTTTAAGAAACCTTCTGCCACAACCAGAAAACTGTGTTTGCTGGAGATAGGCAGAAGCACTGTAGCTTAGTGAGGCAAAGCAAACTATATGTTTATAGACATCAATTCCGAGCACAGAAAATAGGAGCGGTTGTTCAGCCTGCTAGTGAATTGCTCACCTGAGATGATACCGGAGCCTATTTTATATAGCTTGCCTAGCGTGATTGTGAGTAATGCAGCTCTCCCAGAATCCTGCTAATAAAGCCGTTGTACCTCACTGCCCTACATTATCATTCATTTGTATATGAAGCATGTAATTATCTTTTAATATTAGTCTGGGGCGCAACAGCAGCCAGCTATTATGCAGGAAATGTGCTTGCGTTCCTGTAATTTGTCTGGGTATGCTCGAAAAGGCTCAGTGTCTCTTCTTAATGAGTGTAGCCAGTGCTTAGAACCAATCGTTGCGCCTACTCCCATCTGGTGGCCATCGAGAGGCACAACAGTGCTGTTCACCAAAGCTGGTGCTGAAAGAACCACTGAAATTATTCCTGTGTAAAGTTATGTGCCTGTATGTACCTTCCCCATGAATTTCATTGGAGTTTCCGAGGCAAGTAATTCTCAAAGGAGGTTTTGCCAGTTCCTTCTTCTGACATATAGCCAACACCTGGCATTCATGAATGGTCTCCCATCTAAAGGATGATCCATGTTTCCAAGATCAGATAGGATCTGGTGCCATCAGGACACTTAGACTTTATTGCTACTATATGTGAGCTTAACTGATTTGGTTTTGTATCCTGTTGAAGTGTATGATGTCCACCATAACATCATAAATCTTTTTCTGGTTCGGAGCAAGGATCATGGTCTTTCGGTAATGTTGATATTTCAAAGCATCAAGCTGGTTGGTGACATTAAGTCAATGTAGGCACCTTAATTCCATTGGTGTAAGCATTAGACAATGAGCCTAAAAATCCTAAAGGCATGAGATCCTGTCTGAGTTCACAAGCTAAGCCAGATCAGCTCTGAATGGGAGGTTGCCAACAAATACCAAGTGCTGTGGGCTATATTTCAGAGGAAGGAATTGGCAAAACCACCTCTGAGTATTCCTTGCCTAAGAAAACTCTATGAAATTCCATGAGTCACCATAAGTCAACAGGCAACAAATGCAAATACAGTGGGCTTTCCATTTTCACGAGGGCTCAGGATTTGCACAAGAGTAGAAAAAACACAAACAGACTCAACGTCTAGGTAGGCAACATTGTATTATTTAAAATTAACTGATAGTTTTCTCACGCACTACTTGGACTAATTAATTGCATGTCATCTCTGATCACTTTGCCATCGCATAGTAGAAATGTTCTACTGAGTAACAAAGATATGTGCTCAACTACAAACATGCCAATCTGCACATTGTCTATTGTTTGGCAAGGTTCCTTTAAAAGTTGAAGAAAATTTCAATTATTCTCCAGTGTTTTCAATTTGCATATCTCCAAGGAAACCTTAGAAACTAATAAAAACCCCAGGGGATTATCTGTTTTGTTTCAGCAAGTCTTCCTGTTTCTAATAAATAACGCAAAGCAGGTTCTTTATCACCTCCACATTCTTTCAGGAAGAAAGTGCATATAACATGAAGGATGTTTCATTAATCAGTAGAATGAAGTGTGATTCCTTCAGAAATGAAAGCGAGAGCTTCTTCCCACAACCAGCTCAGTGTGTGAAGCCTGCCAGGATTGACTTCCAGTTGTGTCCTGTGTGATAAGGCCATTGTGACAGGGTTCATGAAAGGCTGATTTGTGACATAGCTTGAGGGAAAGCCTTTCTCATTGCAGAAGAAGAAGACTGTCTCCTCTGATTCAGGGACACAAGCTCTAGAGAGGAGCTCATGAAAATGTAACTATGCAGAGTTTAGGGAGCAGAATGACTGTACAACTGCCTCATCCTGGAAAGGGTATGTGAAGACGCCCCAATTTGTAGGGTAAAGCAAGGCTATGGGTTGGACTGGATGGCCCTTGTGGTCTCTTCCGATACTATGATTCTAGACTCACACATTTACTACAGGACTATTCCTACAATTGGCCCTTGGGTCAAGCAGTCTTTGTCTCGTGTTTTCCTCCACTGGGAAAAATGCTCCTGGTTGCTATCTCTTACTGAAAGTCAGAGTTGACTTCAGGTATTCTCTTAAATAGAATTGCAGAATCATAGAACTATTTAGTCGGAAGAGTCCTTGTGGGCCATCTAGTCCAACCCCCTGCAAAGAAGCAGGAAAATCACATTAAAAGTACCCCTGACAGATGGTCATTCAACCTCTATTTAAAGGCCTCCAAAGAAGGAGCCTCCACCACACTCCAGGGCAGAGAGTTCCACTGCTGAGCAGCTCTCACAGTCAAGAAGTTCTTCCTCATGTTCAGTTGAAATCTCCTTTCCTATAGTTTGAAGCCATTGTTCCATGTCCTAGTCTCCAGGGCTGCAGAAAACAAGTTTGCTCCCTCCTCCCTTATGACTTCCCTTCACATATTGATACATAGCCATCATGTTTCCTCTCAGTCATCTCTTCTGCAGGCTAAACATGCACAACTCTTTAAGCCACTCCTCATAGTGCTTGTTCTCCGGGCCCTTGATCATTTTAGTTGCCCTCATCTGGGCAGATTCTAGCTTGTCAACATCTGCATTCCAGGTGAGGTCTGACCAAGGTGGAATAGAAGGGTAGCATGGCTTCCCTGGATCTAGCCACTATACTCTTACTTGTGCAGGCCAAAATTCCATTGGCATGACATTGTTGGCTCATGTTTAACCTGTTGTCCACAAGGACTCCAAGATCTTTTTCACACATACTGCTATCGAGCCACGCACCCCCCATTCTGTATCTTTGCATTTAATTTTTCTGTCTAAGTGGAGTATCTTGCATTTGTCCCTGACTTGGGGTTCCCAACCAGGAGAACAGAGTACATATGCGGTTATCTCTCTGTGTGTGACTCAATCTGTTTCTTATTATGTTTTTATCTTCAGTCATTTAAATGTATTTTTATTTGATTTTATCATTGATAGCCATCTTGAGTGCCATTTTCTGGCAGAAAGGCAGCAGATACATAATATAACACTACGTAATATGATTTTTGTTCCTGGGTTATAAATTTCATTTCCTAATTGGCTCTATCATAAAAACACAGGGAACGTTTATTAAACTGCAAAAACTTTGTTTTTGTAGGACATCCCGCAGCACATTTTGCTATATGTTTTCATCGAGTCTCAATCAATTCAACATAGTTTTGGCAGCCACAAAAACAAAGTTTCTGGAGTATAACAAGTAACTACCGCACAATTAAACAGAAGATAACATCTTCAAACCAGGAACAGAAAAGTTTTCAAATTTTGTTACATAGCGTAATCAATAGACAAAAACCATAAGTCTCTAAATAGGCCTGTTAATGGTCAACACTGTTTCAGGGTTGCTTTACTGACTGAATTGAAGGCCTTGGCTTGTGTTGTTTGTGACATAGAAAGTGCAAATATTGTTGCATCATCGTTACTGCAATTGACAAAAAATCTGAGTCAGTGTCTTTGATGGGGACAAAACTATTAGCAGGCTGATGGTGTCTTGAGTGGGTGAGCATCCATTTTCTCTCCTAAGAATTTGTGCCCGTGCTACATCAAACCAGCTGAGAAACAGTAGCAACAAGGTCTGCTTTATTTTCACCCACTACAGATCTTTGTATCCAAATGGATTACCTGATGAATATTCCATTCTAACAACTTTTCGGATGGCTGGAAGTACACTTCAGAAATACTGGAGCGTTTGGCAGGTTCTGGATGTTTCTGGAAATGAACAAGTTGGGTTGAAGTTTAATGGACCAGCCAAATCTGTTGAGTATTCGTATAAAGGAACTGATGGAGTTCTCCAGACAGCAATATTTTTGGACTTGCCATATCTATTTGATTCCCAATGGCATAAGGTTATGGTCGGTATAGAAAGGAGCACAATCACTCTTTATATTGACTGCACTTTGATCCAAACTTTAAGCATTACACCAAGAGGAAAGATCAGCGTTGATGGCTTTACCACATTGGGGAAACTGAGAAATAATCCTCAGATGTCAGTTCCGGTAAGTTTTGAATATTTACTTTTTCAAAGAAATTATTACTTGAACACTTTGGGGGTGTTGGTGGAAACGTCATAATATAGTTTGTTATTGCGTCTGTGATTTGAATGTTGGTTGGGAGAAAATGATTAACTTTGAACAAGCTTTCAATGGCGACACCTTATTATAACTGGCATTATGTGTTGAGGAAACATAAGAACTAAGCACGTATTCAGAGGAATGGGGAAAAAAAACAATTTGGAAACCAAGAGATTATTTAAAAAACTAGACTAAAATGAATGCTGGATCTCCTGAACATTTAAATACAAGTCTTACTTCAACTCATTACAACTCCTAATTAAAAATCATCAAACCATTACAAAGTAGGGAGGAACATGACAGTCTTTGAACTGTATTATTGTTAAGCAGCATATCAAAATTAATTGTGGTGTCAGTGATATAAAAAGGTCTTACTGATTTATGCAAGCTGGCCACTGAGAACAGCATTTATTCTCTTTTGTTTTATTTCCCTTCTAAAAGGCACAGGCCCTCATCTACACTGCCATTGAATTGCATTATGTGAATCTACACTTGCCATATACAGTTAGTCCCGAAATTATGAACAATATAGGTTGTGTAGGTTGGTTCTTAAGTTCAATTTGTTTGTAAGTCAGAACAGTTATATTTTTAAAAGTGTAACTACAGCCAAACCTATCTATCTATCTATCTATCTATCTATCTATCTATCTATCTATCTATCTATCTATCTATCTATCTATCTATCTATCTATCTACCCATACATCCATCCATCCATATATCTAGGGAGCCTCTGGTAGTGCAGTGGGTTAAATTGCTGAGCTGCTGAACTTGCTGACCAAAAGGTCCGCAGTTAAAATCTGGGGAGTGGGGTAAGCTCCCGCTGTTAGGCACAGCTTCTGCCAACCTAGCAGTTCAAAAACATGCAAATGTAAGTAGATCAATAGGTACTGCTTCTGCTGGAAGGTAACGGTGCTCCATGCAGTCATGCCGGTCACATGACCTTGGAGGTGTCTCTGGGCAACGCCGGCTCTGGGCAACGCCGGCTTAGAAATTGAGATGAGCACCACCGCCCAGAGTTGGACACAACTAGAATTAATGTCAAGAGGAAACCTTTATATTTATTTATCTATCCGTCTGTCCATCCATCTATTTATCTATCTGTCTTTGGATAGCATAGGGAAGGGTTAACACCCTTGTAGTTTGCTATCTGTGCCCCCTTTCAGATTTTCCCTTACTTTCTGTCCCTGTGATAATTGGATTTTGAAAAAAAAATGGCTTGTTGTGGAAACAAGGATTTGCCATGAAGTCTCAGTGGAGACACCTTTTCTCCAAGATAGCTCCTTGGAGGAGTGAATTTCCCTTCTGTGAAGGGTAGAGTTCTCTCATTTCATTGACTCATCCCCGTTCTTAACTATGAGTTGTTTGTAAGTTGGATGTTTGTAACTCTTTAAGTCTCCTTCAGAAGAAATGAAGTGAGGTATAAATAATAATAATAATCATCATCATCATCATCATCATCATCATCATCACCATCATCTCGGGGACTGCCCGTAATGCAATTCAGTGCAGTTAATCTGCATTATATGGCAGTGTAGATGAAGCCACAGTCTTCCCTCTAGAAAGCTATAGTTTAAATTCAACCATTGCTTCCTTGTTTATATAAATGGAAACATTTGAAGACTAGAACCACTATTTATTTTGGAATACATGCTGTGGTATTCCAAAATATCCAATAACTACTCTGAATGAAGACATTGTTCTGTTCAGGGTAATGTTTGAAATCCTTTCATCTGAGCCTTTCTGACAATAATGCAGGGTTTCAGGAATCACATCTGTGACACTATATGATGAGCTGGTTTATTTTTGTCCCAGCTGAAGATTGGTGTGAAGTGTCTCAAGGAAGTGTGAAATACCATTATATGATGGACAGGAAATCATTTGTAGCTGCCACACTTTGACAGATTTATATATAATTGTGTAATCCCACTAAGATAAAGACACATTCCGCTTTCTAATAATGCCATGTAATAGAGTTTTATGGAATTAAGGTATCTGGAAATGTGTGCAGACATGTTTAAATTGTGGCTCTGAAAGGGTATTTTATTTAATTGATCATTATCATTACTAGTTTACCCCATCTTCATTACATTTGCAATTTAGTTCACTATTTTTTAAAACTTCTGGAGGAAGCACAATGATTTCCTTCCATGGAAGGTACAACAAGGCCCTACAAAGAGTTAGCTAAAACCACCAGGGGCCAGCTATGCATATCATGCAATTTTGTGCTTCCCCTCACTCCATACTTGAGCGGGAGGTTGTTTTCTTTCATGAAAAGTAAGAACAAGAAGAGTAGGAGAAATAATAGTGTCTGAATATCATAGGAGATGCTTTTCTCAACTTCCATATTTTACAAATTAACATTATTTCCTTTGTGGTTGGTTACTGAGAAAAATACACCATGTCTGCAGGTCTGATTGCTTAGAGATGAAACTCTGGCTAAGGACCACATCACACTTACCTTTTTAAGTATCCAAGATGCTAAAGGGACAATCCAGCAATAGATGGGCATGATGCCCATCATACGATGCGGCTGGAATTCCTGTTGAAGCCCCACTCCCAACTGGAGTGGAAGCATCATAGGATGCTTCCCTCCTAACATGATAGAGCCAGCACACTTCAATGCCACTTCAACGATGCTTCCACGTGTGATGGGGGAAGCGTGACTGCTCGGGAGTGGAGGCATGGAGGCTTGTGAAATGGCATCGGGTGGGGGGTCATCTGTGTGATGAGGCTCTAAAAAATTTATCTCTGGAACACTAATGTGATTTCAGCCTCCAGTGATGTGTTATGCACAATGTATACTCTGACCCTGAATTCATTTTTCAAAGATGGCTGTTGGCTTCATGGAATTGTAGAATTATAGAATTATGTAGTTCCTTTAGAGTTTGGATTAAAACCTGGTAGAGACCAAATCATCCTGCTGACTTTGGAGACATAAGCTACTACTATTTCTGTTTCAAATACACTTTCTTTTGTATGTGTGTGCACATATGTATTAATGTTTGGTTCTTAACTAGTTTCATGATCACCATAATCAGAACTAATTTTAACAAGTAGTCATTGACTAGTTTTATGGTTACCATAACCAGAAAAGACTTGAAGGTACACAACAAGAAAACCAACAACTGATCTTCCCATGAAGCTGGGAAACCAATAGATTGAGAGGTGTTAGCAAGATATGAATCTTATTATTAAAAACAGGGAAGATATACAAGAAGAGTAAAGAATGGTTAACTGGGATCTGCCATAAAGGTAGTAAACAGTGAAGAATGTACTAAAGTAGGCTTGTATAGGATATGCTTGAGAAGGGATCTATTTCATACATTACATTTGTTGAATTGCTTAAAATATGCCATTACTTCCAGTCTGATTTGTATGTTAGGTGGATTACCACACAATAGTGAACATGGAAGCCCATTTTAGGCATTGTCTTCTATATGATCAGTCACATGAAGGAACACATTACGTTAGTAGCCTTTGGTCCTATCTCTGCTGCACATACTCCCTTTTGGCTTCTGTCCTGACATATTGCAGTAGACTATTTGAAGAGAGGAGTAGGGTTTATATAGTAAAGGTAAAGGTTTCCCTGACTTGAAGTCTAGTCATGTCCAACTCTGGGGTGGTGGTGCTCATCTCCATTTTTAAGTCGAAGAGCCAGCGTTGTCCATAGATACCTTCTAGGTCATGTGTCTGGCATGACTGCATGGAGCGCCATTAACTTCCCGCAGAAGCGATACCTATTGATCTACTCCCATTTACATGTTTTTGAACTGCTAGGTTGGCAGAAGCTAGGGCTAATGGCGGGAGCTCACCCCGCTCCCCAGATTCAAACCTTTAACTTTTCGATCAGCAAGTTCAGCAGCCACTGTGCCACCAAGGGACCCTAGGGTTTATATAAGTCATTGGAAAAGTTACAGCTCTCAGAATCTGCGAGCTAGCATAGTCCATAGCACATCACACCCTCAGAGTTTTAGCTATATATCCTGAAAAGTAATTTCCTTCTATCACATGGATTGAGCTTGATATAGAAGTGTGATATAAATGCTACAAGCGAGTATTCAACCATGTGTGGTTGTTGTGTCACTACTGGCAATTATTTTCTATTCCCTTGGAAGGACTGCATTTAAAAATGACTGCTATGGAACTCTTTGGTAGTCGACCTGTAGTTGATGTCCAAGGTTGAAATTATTTAAGAAAAAATTATATCAATATATAGTTAGAAAAAATGATTGGAAGTTGTCTTGACCCAAACTAAATGTCCTTTAGTTTGTTAACTTCAATTAATGCATGGACAGTAAGGCGTTTGAGTTTACTCAGCTAGATCCTTCTTTACATGTAACAGGATTAATTTATTTTAGTGGGATTAGGATCCTCATCAAGTAAAGGAGGGAGGGGAATAATTCTGAGCTATCTGTATTGAGCAGGCCCACTCCTGCAGTTCATATATGACTCATCTAAGCTGATGATAGCACTTCACTGAATGTGATTTGAAAAACACCCTTATTCTTTATCACCCTGGTACTTAAGAGTGCGATATTGAGTGATGCTTCAAGAGCAGTGTAGTGGTAAATTTTGAAGTTGGTTATTGTCATTGGCCATCAAGGTGACTTTGATTTATGGTGACCCTATGAATGAGAAACCTCTGAGAGCTGCCATCAGCTGCCCCACCGAGGTCTCGAAAAACCAGGATTGTGGCTTTTTTATCTAATGAATTCACCTATAAAGCAGTTCTTTCTCTTCCACTTTTAGTATGCATTATTATTTTTTCCAGTGAATCCCATCATCTTAACCCCCCCTGAAAAAAATTCAGCCCCCCCCCCAATGAAATCCTGGCTACGGGCCTGTCTTATAGTGTATTCCAAGCAGAGCAACCTCGGTTTAGTCAATATTGGCTTCTAGTGAGCATTCAGGCTTGGTTTGCTTT